CAAGCAATAACAATTATCTTTATACATTTAATTGTTGTAACACGAATTAAGGTTGTTTTCTATGGAGGATTGGTATTGTCTCCCAAAATTATTCAAACACATGTGTCCACAGAAATTCACATCACTGAACAGGCTGCGGTCAATCTTTTGCCCTGGCCACGATATCCCCCAGATTTTATGCAAAGTGAACACGTGTGAGACATGATGGGTTCGAGACTTCTTAATTTAGAGCATCCTCCTCAAGCTATAGGAGCACTTCGGGAAGAATTGATTAGGTCAATTAATGTGTTAATGTGCATTAACACATTAATTGATTTACCCTGTAAGTTGTTTCAATCATATTGAAATTTTGATCGTTTGTTAATTTTACTACCCTGTATAATAAATTGTACAAAATATAAAAAGGTACTATTAAATAAAAAGCCAAATTGCCTGTTATCTAAAATATTCAATGTAGTAACAAAGAGGAAAAATTAAAAAAAAGCTACAATGCGCGTCATTAAAAAGAGGCCACCTAGAATTTTATAAGAATTTTAAGTTTATGCAATTTATTATATTGTATCTAAACTCCCACTATGCCGAAACACTTTTATGCACCGCCACTGGGTGCCAACAGGTCAATAAGGGTAATAAGTTTGCAGAATTGATATCAATTTTACGACTTCGGAGAATGCACATGCACATGTTGTTTGAACATTGTTTTTCTTGGAATATGGCTGTTCAGTTTTTCAAAAACCTTTCACTAGTGTACAGTTGTTCAAAAAGTGAACTTATGCAATTTTTAAATTTAAAAGTATAAAGAAGAGATTTGCTAGATATGTTCAAATTGATACTTTGATTGATAATTTAATGAGTCAATAAGAAGTTACCAGACAGCTTGGGGTCAGTCGTTGTATGGTCCAAAAAACATACCAACCATTCGTGTAGAGACTGAATCTCACGAACGACGACCAGGATCAAGCGAGGGAAGAATCACGACGGCCGTTTTTTACAACGCACTTTTTCTAAAATCGGTTCTTTACGGCTAGAGCAATCCAAAACCGTTTTCAATAGGCTCACGGGAGGACATTAAGCAAATCTACAGGACCTTTGTTAACAGCAGCACATCGAAAAAACCGACTTGGATTTGCTAGAGACCCAACATCGGACAATAGAAGATTGAAAAAATTTTTTGTTTAGTTATGAGTCCAGAATGGTTCTTTATGATTCAGACGGTCGCATCAAAACGTACAGACGTGGAGAACGATACGATGCTTAGTATTCGACAAGCACGTGTTGCATTTAGAGAAGGGTCAGTACTTAGACATTTTATTCCAAGGTACTGATCTCGTGTTTGTTGGTTGAAGAGCGTTGAATACTCACCGATACATTATCGAAATTCTAAGCACGTAATGCCGTTTACTGGGTTTGTGGACGAAAACTTTATTTTCATGCAAGACAACGCGCGGCCACACGTAGCCAGGATGGTAACGCAATACCTGGAAACCGTTGGTGTGCTAAAAATGAATTTGCCGCTCAAAGCCCAGATTTGAACCCAATTGAGCATGTTTGGGATCAACTCAAACGGAGAGTAAGAAACAGGATTCCTTCTAATAAATCGTGAGCGCTCATGGAAGAATGGGATGCTTTTTCTCAAGACAAAATCCAGAATTTGATCAATTTAATTCCAAGTCGAATGAGGAGTGTAATTCAAAATAGAGGTGGTAATACAGAATATTAAAAATCACTACTTTATTGTAATTTTTATAAAGGAAACAGCAAAAATTACAATTTTAATTTTTGAAATGTCCCATTAAAATCTCCATTTTTGGGAGAATTTTTTTTTGATATTTGTTATTTAAAAAATGGTTGCCTACTGCTTTAGAACATATTCCCTAACATTACACAAACATCTAATGACAATTAATTTTGTTAAGAGTTTGTAAAAATTAAAAAATGACAAAAATTTTTAATGACGCGCAGTGTATATTTAAATGTAAAAGAGTGAATTTCTTAAAACATGACAGTGAAAGATGAGAGGATACAGTTTAATTTTGGATACTATGATTCATATCTCGTCTTACTCATTCAATAGAATCTACAAGATATTTCGCACCTTTTGGATGCGATTAATTTAGCCTCAGCCGTATTAAATTACAGTTTCCAGACGCTTGATAAACTACCTTGACAAGCGAAACAAAGACATAAGTGTTTGCCAAATGGCAAATATTAAAAATAACCTCTGCAAGAACTCGTCAGAACCTCGAAATCTTCAAAAATAGACACCCCCGGCAGACGACAACATATTTCTTGTCTGTCTTTTCACATTCTATAAAATCTCGAGTTAGTATTATTATATGAGGATTTGATACAAAGACAACATTTTGAATTTATTACAGATCTGACATGTTTAAGGATGTCCTGACCAATACTGATCATGAATGAATTCAAAAATTGTTAATACGCCACACAAATACTCCTACCTAATAAAATTATTAAATGTTAGTTTTATTAAAACGTTACAGGTACACTAATGATTGAAATCTTCACATAAAAAAATAGATCAGTGTTCCATCGCAAGTGAATTGGACATGAATCAAAGTCAATGAACTATTAATCAAATCAAATACTACTAATCAAAATCTTTAGCGTAGGCCTTTAAGAATTCTAGTGAATATTATAGAGATAATGTGTATTCAAAGAGCTTCAGTAACTGCTTCACAACGTTGTAACACACTTTCCCTAAATTGTTAAAAAGCACCTGTTGCCTCATGTGTTTCCAAAGTTGGGGTCGTAAGTATCTAACTGCTGAAGAAAACAAAGAAATATTGTCATATTCCTCTTGAACATCAAGGCTATGTACCTATTAAAACTAATTCCAGTCCACATAATCTGGAAATTTATAAATTTCCTAAATAGTCGACAATTTCTAGGTTCGAAGAAATTCTTCCAACCAATATATTAACTACTACAATATTTTCCAAAACGATACACGTTGGTTAAGAAAACAGACAAATTTCCATTCCTCCTGTTAATTTCGATATTCGAGTGCAAGCCAGTCTTTGACAAGCCTTTGACGTAGAGCTACTACGGAAATGGCTAGTTCTTGTCAGAATAAAAAAAATCTAGTCATGACTTTGCAGTTATCGAATATAGCTCTTCAGTACCCAATAGTTATGTAAAGAGTCTTGTAATGACGTACAGTGTCCTCTAGTTCTAATCTGCTCTAGTTTCGTTGTGACAAGTAATTAACGGTGACAAGTAAATTAAATACAAAAATTATCAACTACATTTACTTATCAACGGCCATATTAGCTTCTACACCCGCTAATTTCCCTTTCTGCGTCTCTCTAAACTAGAAAAACTTTAATGTGCTAAAGCTTAGGGACATTAGAAGTATTACACCCAGAAGGAAAAGTTTCTTGAACTTAATTTATTGCCAACAGAATAACTATATTGAAAACATGCTATGATAACAATAAAAATGTTTTATCTTTAAACATTTTTTTGTGAAGAGATCGATTTGTCAAAACCGCTTCGTATAGAAATTTTTAGTTATTATTCCTCATTCTAATTGTATTCAGTGTAAGAAAATGCCTCGCGTTCGAAGACACCAAAATTACCACCATGTTAGCGATTTTGACAGGGGTAAAATTGTGTATAGAGATATGGGTTTGTCGTATAGCGAAATTGGCCATCGTGTAAATTGTACAGCAATGATGGTTATGCGTGTCTTTCCTGTGTGGACAAACGAAGGTAGAGGAACACAAGGAAGACCGACTAGTCAACTAAGGCGTACCACAGAGCGTTAAGATATGCGCTTTAGATTACTGGCTCTGCGTGACCGTTTTGCTACTACGCGTCATATTGCTGACCAATAGTTTGGAGTAGTAAGTAGACCTGTTAGTATGCGTACACTAGACCGTTGCATTCGAGCCTTCGGACTGGTTTCATTCCGCCCACGACTAGTGCTTCCTTTGACTGCGGACCACTGTCATCAACGTTTGAATTGGTGCAGAGAACAGCAGCATTGGGTGGCAGAATGGCGTAATGTAGCATTCAGCGATGGATCACGATTCTGTTTACGATGGTAAGACGCCGACGTGGAGAGCGACGAGATATCGGGTTTGCTGTTGAGAGGCATGTACACAGCATAGTTGGAGTAATGGTTTAGGGGGCTATTGCCTATGGTAGCCGATCACTAATTGGGTTTATTCAATGCAATATGACAGCTGCGCCGTTATGTTAATGAAATCTTAACCACTTACTGCCCTATTTCGACAGCTGTTACCCTACATTGCTCGTCAAACTATGGACTTCCTACAAGAAGCTCGCGTTAATGTCTTGCCGTGGCCGCCCCGTGCTCCGGATTTAAATCCAATCGAACATGTATGGGTTATGATGGAAAGGCTTTGCATCATCCTCCACAGACTCTGGCTCAGTTAACACATGAGGTTCAATTTGCTTTGAACTAGTTGCCACAAGCAGACATCGATCATCTCATTTTGTCAATGCCTAGATGCTTATAGAACTATATTCAGCTACGGGGTCGCCAAACAAATTATTAATTTTTTTTAGTACTTGTTAATACAAATTCTTGACATCGTTATCGTTTTATTCTTGATGTAAATCTAAAATGTTGCCAAAAAATTAAGTTCAAGAAATTATTCCTTCTGGGTGTAACATTTCTTATCTCACTGAGTATTTTTCAATTTTAAAATTCAAAAACGAACAGCACTAGATAATGCATACCTCAAATGTAAAAGATGAAAAAAAGCATTTATGAAAAAAAAAAAATTTTCAATTTGACTTGAAAATAAACTGAACTGTATTTTATTCCATTGCTAGCAATATTCGTAAATTTTGGCGCACAGTTCATACCTATTTCATAAATGATAAGTGTCTAAATTAGTATGGGATTAAAAAATAGTGGTTCTCTTTTCATAGAAGAGATTTCAAATAAAAGCTCAGCTTCCTATATATTATTTCATACAAAAAAATTAAAAAATATGGACTCTTACCTTCGGCTGATGGTAGAACCACTTTTTCTTGTGTATCAGCGTTTTTAAGATTACATGATTTGAATGTTTCTAATTCACTCTTGAGGTCACCTGCTACTTTGGGAAGGTCCTTGAGTGCTGGTGGGGCTGGAGCAGCTGGTACTGTGCAAGACATCTGAAAAGAAAATGCATTCATTTAAATGGAAATATTTACACTAAAACATGAAAATAAAAATAAAAAATTAGGTTGTAGAAAATAGCAAAAATAGTACATTGTTTACCGGGTAGGAAAAGCTTAACATTCCTGGACGACTGTGAAGATTGCTACACTTAGCAACACAGAGTCCAGGAATGTGGCTTTTCCTACGAGGTAAACATACTATTTTTCCGCAAATCGTTTAAAATTCGACAGATATTGATTGATTTAAAAAAAAAAACGCGATAATTTTATTCCCAAATAAATGGTGCTTTGAAATTCCTAATAAAATTACTTGGGTTACTATGGAAACGTATTGAGGTTGAATTGTCAAACTTATGTAGAACACTAACAACTGTACGGAAATATCATTTCCTTACAGTAAGGAAATGACATTTCCTTACAGTAAGGAAGTCCTGACTTTTTCTTCAAGAAATTTTGACAGGAATGTCAAAATTTCCTGGCAATTTGCGGAAAAAGATATGTTTACTGTTTCTAGCATGTTTCCTTGTTTCTTAAAAATGAGAAAAAATGGGAAAAAATAGAATGGTATAATTAGGAATGTAAATGCGGCATACAATAAAAAAACGAAGCACATATAAAATAGACTAGAGAACTAACAACTTTTGAGGAAGCCGGCGGATTAAGGAATAAAATCCGCAGAAGACAAAAAAATGAAATTCCGAAGTCATACGATAAAGGAAATGAACAGAATCTTCAGACTGTAGTTACATTGGAAAAAGAAGCTGTTTGTTTATAGCATCTCTCTATGATACCTTTTGCAAATATTAATAAGGTTTTAAAATATTTTGCAAATAAACAACAATTTGTAAAATAGATTATCTATTTATTATCAACGATTTGATTTTTACATCATAAGCCAGATTTGTTTATTTTACAAATGTATTAAATACTGTATTGTGCGAATTAATGGAATCATTGTGACACTTTTTAAAATTCATAGTTGGCAACACTGTTTACATAGCTAGACATGGAATTAATGTGCTAGATATAAGAAGCCTCAGGGGAGCAGATGGAGATACAGACCATCACCTAGTAAGAGTAAAAATCAGATTGAGAATATCTTCAGCGAAACCTAAGGCCAACGAAGCATTGGGACAGTTATGTCGTGGCTGTTAATATAACCATGTATTTGTTTTTTTATTTTAAAATCAAGCCCAAACCTGCTACTTACTTCTGCAACCCTGGAGACAAGTGTCTGCAGACTTTCAAGACTGTCTGCAAAAATGACAGTATCATCAGCGAATCTTATGTTGTTCAATCGTTCTCCGTTTATAAGTATTCCCTAGTCTATGTCTATACATAGACTAGGTTCTGACAATATACTGGCTGAATTCCCAAGTACGGAGGAGAAACTCTACAGAGACAAATACATAAACTAATAACACTTATATGGAACGAATAGAAAATACCAACAAAATGGCACGAAAGTGTAATAATCCCCATCCATAAAAAGGGAGACAAAACCAAGTGCTCTAATTATAGAGGCATCTCCCTAATTATACGGCATATAAAATATTATCGAACATCCTATTAAGTAGGCTGAAACCGTTTGTAGAAAATTTCATGGGGGAATATCAAGCCGCCTTCAGGAAACATAGATCGACCATAGATCAGATCTTTACTCTAAGACAGCTGCTTGAAAAAGGATGGGAATTCAATAGGACTATCCATAATCTCTTCATAGATTTCCGGCAAGCGTACGACAAAATTAAAAGGGATCAGATGTGGAATGGCAGTACTTTCAGTTCCAAGAAAACTTATCCAGCTTGTTAAATTATGTGTGAATAGCTGTAGATCCAGAGTACGGATCTCAAAATCTTTCGAAATAAGCAGTAGACTGAAACAAGGAGATGCATGGTCACCTCTCCTTTTTAGTATCATCCTGGAGAACTTAAAACAGAATTATTGACAGTAAATGGACCAAAATTACTACTAGCATACTCAGATGACATTGATATTGTGGAAACAAAGTCACCAATGTGAAGGAGACTTTTAATAAATTGGAGGTAGAGGCAAAGAAAACTGTTTTAAGAAAGCAGATGTATAAATTGAGCGACATAGTCCAAGAGATTAAATCCCATCGTCTAAGATGGGCTTGCCATGTCCATAGACTCCCTAATAACCGCCTTGCCAAGTTAATATGGGAGGAAGCCCCCACAGGGAGAAATCTCCCGGTGGAGGCAAAACAATGGAGCTACCCACTGACCCAACTATTATGGACGACCGTTCAAGATGAAAGCAAGTTGTGCAGTCAGCCAAGACCCACCCCGTGTTGTAGTGCTACGAGAAGAAGAAGAAGGATATTACGACTAGGAAGCGTGAAAAGATTATCCATGTTAAGTGAACACACTTCTATGTCTCGCAAGAATGTGTGGAGTGAGTCAGGGGGTGGTAAGCAAGATTTCGAAGCGTACTCGAGAAACAGGATCAATTAATGTGAAAAGGTTAGGGAAATGCAGAAGAAATAGAAAAACAGCACCAGCAGATGAAAGATTTTTACTTCAAAAGGGCAAATTGGACCCAAGAAAAACAAGCCAAGAGCTCCAACAAGATCTAGCAGCATCAGCTGTTGCTAGATCATCACTCAACTGTCGGTAGATTGTATGGTGAGATTGGTAGAACTGCAATTTACCCACAGAAAAAACAGCTTCTAACTGAACGAATGAAGAAACAAAGGTTATCGTGGACCAAAAAATAATCTGTGGACGACTGGAGAAAAGTCCTATTTACAGATGAAACCTACTTTATAGTTCAGCGACAGCGATCAAAATTTATCACGAAGTCTGACAATGAAAACCTTGCACCATCTCATATTGATCAAACCGTAAATCACTCAGCCAAAAAAATGATTTGAGGATGTTTATCATACATGGTGGTTGGATCTTTGGTACCAGTCGAACGCATGATGAACAGCCAACAATACAAATCCATGTTGAAACAGCGTTTGGACACAGAACTCAAAAAATGTCAGCCCCAAGGAGGAGCGATTCTTCAACAGCACTCCAGGTAATTCGCTAGACCTCCACCCCATTGAAAATTTATGGACCATTTGCAAAGCTAGACTGCGCAAATCGACTGTACTAAAAAATAAAAATGATAGAAGTGGTCATTCAGTTTTGGTTTCGAGATGAAAGGATATCTGAATACTATCAGAAGCTCATAGAATCTATTCCAAAACGGGTAAAAGCAGTAATTGCAAGCAAAGGGGGAAATAATTTCCTACTAAATATAAGTTTACCTTTATAGTTTTGTCAAAATATAATTTTTTTCTAAATACACTGTTTTTTCATTAAAACATCCGATGATTTCATTAATTCGCACAGTATTGTAGTTTTGCGGTTAAGCCCAAAAGATATTTCAAAAAAACTAAATAAGACCTAAGACATAACAAAAAGTGAAACGAATTCTCTGGTTCTCCAATAAGGTTTATGTTTGTATATGCTTATAATATTTTACTAATTTATCTGGTTCTTATATCTATTTCGTTTATTGACCCGCTTTTAATTTTTACTTGCAAAAACCACAATTCAAATATAGAGCTTTTATCCACGTTCTTAATATAAATATATTTCTTATCTTTATACAACCGTAATGTTTTAAACAAAGTAAGGTACTTAATTATTAAGGTCTATTAACGAGAATACTAATTATACCTATACCCAACGGTACATAAACCAATGTTTGCTACTAAAACAGTAGTTGCTTTGTGAGCAAGTTATAAACAATTTTCCGACTACAAAATCAACTGCGATGTAGAATTTACACGAAACTGTAACGCAAATATTGAACGGATAATCATTTTCATGTTTAATAGAGATGAGCAGAATTTCACAATCCGTTAATTTGCTAAAATATGTTTTTTTTAATCGGAAAGACACAAACCATTAAGTATTTACAAGGCTTAACAAAATCAAAACATTTCTTTTAATTCCGTAATTTTACAGGAAATATCTCAGCACAATAAATCAATTAATTTGACGTCAGGAAGTTATTTTCTATGTCAAGTCAGATATTGATCCTAATCAAAAATGAAAGCTGGACATATGTAGCAAAATGCTTCCAAACAACTTACTAAATGAATCTAACAAAAATTTGATCAAATTAGAAATATGCTTTATTGTCACTGAAAATTGTGCAATTTTATAGACAACACTAACAAAAAGTCTTACAAGTTCAAAAAGAAAAAAAAAAGTAGTGAAACAATCCATTGCAAAATTTAAATAAATTGCAAATTGCATAATAAAACCTTAAGAACTAAGATGTTGAGGTTGCTGCATATGATACTCAAATATATGGATAAAAATACTTGTACATAAAGGTACTGTAATTTCTTAGTTATTCTTTAAGAAACTCTGCCACTGAATAATATGGTCCTTCAGATAGATAGGCTTTTGTCATTTTACGGAATTTGGGAAAATATGTTGCAGATTTAAGTTGTAAAGGGAGATGATTGTATAGTTTTTTTGCAGAATATAATATAGATTTCTTTACTAACTTATCAAAGGTTCTGGTGGAGTAGACATAATTAGGTCTTGCTAGAAAACCATGTAGATGTTTACGAATTAAGCAAACAGTTTCTAAAATATATAAAGAGGTAAGAGTTACATCGCGTGATTCTGCAGTAGTAGCTTCTACAATGTGTTGTTCCTCTGAGGTCAAACAGATACCGAATTGTTCTTTTGACAAGTCAACAATACGCTGAATACAATGCCTATATTAATAGGGTAGATTTTTTACCATTTGAATAATATTTATATGTTACTATAAAAATAAACATTAGAGCTGACCAAATGCCTTTAAGGAATAGCGCAACATACATACCACACTTAGAAGTAATTAGTAGAGTCTAATTAATATATTTGCACGTTTTAATGTTTGATACTAATGTAGACGATGTAAACTAGCCTAACTAGTATAAAGTACAAAAACAAGTGAACATGGCAACAGAGCAGCAG